GACCAACCTATTAATATGCATGCCAATGCTTCTATAGATTATAATGAGGATTGGATTATTGACTCTGTTTGTTCTCATCATGCTACTGGAAATGTTTCTCTTCTCTCTGAGGTATGTACACATCATGGAAGAAGAGTCATTGCGACGGCCGATAATTTCTTACATCCTGTTGTTGAAGAAGGGCATGTTAATGTTGATAATGGTGCTCCAAATGTTGGTGGTGTTTCTCTTGAAGATGTTTATCGTGTTCCAGACTTGAAGAAGAATTGGTTTCAGTCTCTCAGATTACCGACTGTGGGAGGTATTTTCTTTTTGGTCCAGATAATGTGAAAATTGTTTATGATATTAAGTAATTTTTAGTTGATATTTTGTTAACTGAAAAGAGGAAAGATTCCCTCTATGTTTTATCTGCAAGTGATGCATATATTGAAAAGACAGGTCAGAATGATAGTGCAGCGCTTTGGCATGCTCGGTTGGATCATGTTGGTTATCACCAGTTACAGCGAATTTTGATAAAGAAGCTTTTGGGCGGTATTCCTTTACTTAAAGAAATTCACCTTGATGTGTTTTGTCATGGTTGTCAATTTGGAAAATCACATCGCTCCCTTTCCCAAATTCAGACAATACAGCTACTGTTGCATTGCAGTTAGTTCTTCAGACTTGATGGGGCCAACTAGAACACAAAGTTATTCTGGTTGTTGTTATGAAGTGGTTATCGTGGACGATTTTTCTCGGTTCACTTGAGTGTATTTCTTGGAGGCTAAAATTGAGACTTTCTCCAAATTTATTCAGTTAAAGGAGGAGCAGATGGAGAAGGAATTTATGCTGCCAATAAAGTGTTTTCGCACTGATAATGGGGGAGAATATATGTTCGATGAATTTCAAAAGTATTACAAGGAGCATGGCATTCAACGCCAAATGACGTGTCCTGACACTCCACAGTAGAATGGAGTTGCTGAACATAAATTGACACATCTCACATCTATGTGCTTATCTTGGCTGCATGCAAAGAACCTTCCAAGAGAGCTTTAGGTAGCAGCTATTCAGACAGCTTGTCATGTCATAAATCGTCTACATCCATGGTCAAGGTCGGATCAATCTCTATTTGAGGTATTATATCATTGCAAACCCAATGTGAGTTATCTTCGAGTTTTTGGGTCAATTTGTTATGTTCACGTTTATATGTGTCGGCTCAGGAAGGCTTTCTATTGCCTTAAGCAAGCTTCGCGTGCTTGGTATGACAAGATTGCTCAATATCTTGAGTTTTGTGGGTTCAGGTCTTCAAATGCAGATTCAAGTCTGTTTGTTAAGAAGATAACCTCGGTATGTACAATGCTTCTACTCTATGTTGATGATATGATCATAACTGGTGATGATGATGTTGAAATTAACAGTCTTCGAGATGCTTTATCTATTCGTTTTGAAATGAAGAGTTTGGGCGAAGCTAGGTGTTTTCTTGGTTTGGAGGTTGAAAGGCCAGGTGGATATTTCGTCTCACAGAAAAGATATGCAACAAGTTTATTGAATCGTTTTGGTATGAAAGAGTCAAAGTCAATGACTACTCCTATGGAGCCATCCTTGAAGTTGATTAAGGAAGGAGGAAAACTATTGACAGATGCAACAACTTTTCGACGACTTGTTGGTAGTTTAATTTATTTGATTATCACAAGGCCTGACATCTCTTACTCTGTAGATGTCGTTGCTCAGTTTGTGGAGAAACCATGTGAAGCTCATTTAATTGCAGCAAAGAGGATTCTTCGATATGTGAATAGCACTTTGAGTTTTGGCTTGTTATATAAACAAGCTACACCATTTCTGTTGAGTGGTTTTTGTTGATGTAGATTGGGTCGGTGATGTTAATGACATAGGTTCCAAGTTTAATACAGGTTCAGGGGCTATATAATGGTCCAGTAAAAAACAAACATTTGTTGCTCTTTCAAGCTGTGAAGCAGAATATGTAGCTGCTATTATGGCTACTCAAGAGTGCATTTGGCTGAAAACACTTATGAGAGAAATATTCTCTATTGTGGACTATCCAGTGTCTATTTTTTGCTACAACAAAAGTGCAATCAAGCTTGCAGGGAATCCAGTGTTTCATGCTCGTACAAAGCGTATTGAAACACATTTTCACTTTGTTCAAGAGAAAGTTCTAACACAAGATATTCAACTACAGAAGATACATTCGAAGGAGCAAGTTGCAGACATATTTACTAAGGTACTTGGCAAACCCAAGTTCGAAGAACTCAGAAGTTCACTTGGTGTTGTTGACCGTACATTTGCACTAAGGGGAAGTGTTAAAAATTAGTACAAATTTATTTAATTATCATGTTAGTTCTTGATAGATTTTAGGAGTTAGTGAGTATTGGGTAGTTACTTACATACTTATTAGAAGTAGTGGTGAGTGGTTGTAAAATTGAGGAGAAAGTTTGGGAATAATGGTTTAGTTGTATGATGGTATTGATTGGAGAGAAATTCAAGGGTAGTGGCTTAGTGGTCCGTTTTATTAGCTCACTATAAATACGTGTAACTAATTTTCATTTTATGAATCAAATCCTTTCTTCGTAAACATTTATCTTGCTTTCTTTCTATTGTTCATCTTCGGTTTTCGTTACATCTAGAATGTGATACTTGATGTGAAAGTGATACCCTCAATTTATAGGCCGGGGATCTGACAAACTATCTGGCAAGTTATTAATGTCACCTCAAAGGTTAGGTTGTTAGGCTCCTAAGGTTAGAGCTTGGTCTGCCCATCGCCGCAGGATGATATTCCCATGACGTCTGCAGCTAAGTACAAAGGTTGACCCCGCCTTAGGACATCTTCAAGTTAGGTTTGGTCTTCCGATTTTCCTCCTCCGTTCTCCACATGTAAGGCTATTTTTCTGCCCCGACATAAAGAATTTGTAACAAAAGAAAAAGATTGAGAAAAAAGTAATGCATAATAAGTTGACATGAATAAAAGTTAGGGAATTATTTTTTTGACACATGAATTATTTTAAATTCAATATTATAGATTAAGTAACTATGTAATATTATAATTATTTTTCTATAGAGAGTGGATGCATCATTTCATTCTAACCGAAAAATGTATATAGGTCAAATTTTGTATGGAATTAATGGTGAACATTCATGGACAACTAATGATGTGGATATTATATTATACAATAAAATATTTTCTTCATCCACAAAAAAATGTACATTTCTCAAGTTTTTTACCATAAGTGAATCATTGAGTAATTATTAAAGGTAAGAATAATTGTATTAGATAATTTTGTTTTTTTTCCTAGATTTTTTCCGTAATATCCATTTAAAATGATGTGAAATTTTTAGTTTTTTATTTTAAAATCGGGTAATTGTTTTTTATTATTCTTTTTTACAATTTTTTTCTTATTTTCATAAAAAAGTATTCTGTTATATTTTAAATTTATAAAATATATTTCACATATAATATTTTCAGTCAACAAAGCAAGACATCAAATAAATTTTTATTTGGTCTTTTGAAATCCTTAATTTTAAAGTTCTATCGATTTTTTAGTTTTTGAAAAATATTGTCTCTTATCTTTTAAAATGTTTTTGTTTATGAGTCTGTTTTTTATTTTCATAACATTATTTTTTATTATACTTCAAAATTATTAATAATATTTTATATGAAATTGAAGGAAAAATAAATGAAAAAGATAAATAGTCAAATTTTGGAAAATAGATTAAAGTATTTAAATATTGATGACTTACCTTTTCATATCATCTCGAGTTTTTGTTGATTTTTCTTCATGAAATTCGTAGGAATTTTTTGTTTTTGTTGATTTTTTGTTTTTATTGATGACTTACCTTGTTGATTTTTGTTGGGGAAGATGGATTCTTGTATTTTTGTTCGTTTTGGTTCAACCCTTTTGAATAAAGGAAAAGATCAAAGATGTAAAAAATTTACTTCATGAATTTTGGATATGAAAGTAACGAGATTTTATAATGTAGACAAATGTGATTTGAATCATATACTTAAGCATTCAAATACGATAGTATGTCCAAGTCCTTATGACCGATTACAAATCTGTAAGTGAGTAGGTATATGACAATTAATACAATAAACCTCCAATCGCATAATATAGAGTGTCTTAAACATGGATGTGATTTTAACATGAATATAATCAAACCTATATGCAGGTGCGAACTCACAACTTCTTAATTAAATATTTTAACCAGTTGAGTTAAGTTCAAATCGACATAGATTATATAATTATAATTATAAATTATAGTTTATAATTTATTGATTATAGATTATTAATCATAGATAACTAATGACTAATCAAATCTTAAAAATTAGGTTGATTGGATTATTGAAATTATCAGTTTTTTTTAAGAATTGAAATTATTAATTGAAGATTAGGTTAAAACGGTAAAAAAAGAAAAAAAAAATTGATTCTTCAGCATTGTACCTTTAATATCGTAATTATAAGATTTGATAGGATATCCTTTTCAAATCACCACATCCCTCCCATGTGGAGCGAAGAGTCGAAGACAAGGATGAGTTTCTCACCTTTTTGGCATGAAAAAAATCAATGTCGGCGAATTCACTCTTCTTTTTTCTTCTTCAACGTATTTTAATTTTATAATTATGTAATTTTTTTTCTTGAATTCAACATATAAGAGTAGAAATTCGAACTTACGACCTTAATTTGAACTTAAGACCTTTTGATCCGAAATAAGTATCTTAAAACATCTATGATTACAGATTATAGATATGAAATATGAATATAACGTAATTAAACTCCAATGATAATCTCGTAATTCTTATGATTATTTTTTCATCCAACATTTCAATTACGGACCTACGGTTATGATATGAAACGCCTTTTACACCGTTCGCAACCAAACCCCACACGAAAGCAACGTCACTTTGGGGTATAATGGTCATTATGCACTAAGACACGTGTTGATATCTCATTGGACGCACCTGCTCCAACTCCGCTGTCGCGCATCATGATATTATGGAAAAAGTAAAGCCCACCGTTTACCAAGAGCGAGCAAAAGAGGAGAGAGAGAGAGAGAATATCTCAAACATTTCGCGAATTTCTCTCCTACGCGGCTCAGATTCTTCATCCTCATCCTCCGTTCCTCCCTCCCTAGATCTTCTGATTCGGTTTCCCTACTCAAGCTCTAGCCATGGTGAGTCGATTTCTTCTTCTGATTTTCTATTTCTTTTTTGTAGTTCTTCTGTTTTCGTTTTCTTGATTTTGTAATCTGTTTCTTCTTTTTGCTGGATGTTGATCTGCGATGCCTTGTATATGTGATTTTCCGAACCTGCGTTGTGTGGATCTGAATTAGGTCCTTGTTTTGATCTAGATCGTTTGATTTTTTTTGTGCTTCTGTCTACTCTTTGTCCGATTTGTTCTGGATCAGATTTGATCGGTTTAATTTTCATTTAGAGAATAATTACTTTGCTTGGAGATATGATCGTGACTAATTACCGTTGTTTATTAGTTATTTAAGTTGATTGTAACTATTTTACTACGGCTGGCAGCTGGCTTTTTGTATTCTGGTTTTGTTGGAAGTTTGTTTTATTGTTGTTGGCCCTGCGGATTTGAGGTTCTTGGTGATTGAGATGAGATGGTGGTATTGCTATTGTGAAGTAGATTTAGTGCATGTATGATTGTTGAATATGATCAGGTGAAGGAACATTGTTTGGCGGCGGCTGGATCAAATAATCCCCCAACTGCCGCGGAGAAATTGAGAGAAGAATCGGGAATGAAATTGATTTTTGATATTTTATCATGATGCCCACTTTTAATTTTCAATATTTCATCAATTTTGGGAAGTTATAACTTTACTCTTTAGAAGAAAAATGTAATGCGTTAGGCAACTGATCTATGCCAACGAATCCAAAAGTCAGTAAATGAACTTATCTCAATGATTGGGAGATTCATAAAGAATAAGAATAGACTCTAAGAAACCATGTGGAGACCATACTGATAACCAAGCATTTCTATAAATATCTAACTCAAAGGATCATTTTACTAAAAATGATAAAGGGCAGTGTTACCTATTTTAGGCATTTGATTTAGCATACTTGTCACAGCTTTGACTTCATTCCCCTTGTGTTCTTACAAATATTTTCAGGCTAACGCGGCATCGGGTATGGCTGTACATGATGACTGTAAGCTTAAGTTCTTGGAGCTGAAGACTAAGAGAACTTACAGATACATAGTATATAAGATTGAAGAGAAGCAAAAGCAGGTCATTGTGGAGAAACTTGGCGAGCCTGGTCAAAGCTATGAAGATTTCACAGCCTGTCTTCCTGCAGATGAATGCCGATATGCAGTTTATGATTTTGACTTTCTGACTAAAGAGAATGTCCAGAAGAGCAGAATTTTCTTCATCGCCTGGTAATGTTATGCTAAAATAGTTATATGTATATATACATACACATGCCATGCTCACCGACCACCTGTTTTAGCTTGTATCTCTAATTATCATTACTCAACTTTCTTGTTGCAAAGGTCTCCCGACATTTCAAAGGTAAGAAGCAAGATGATCTATGCAAGCTCAAAGGACAAGTTTAGGAGAGAATTGGATGGCATTCAAATTGAGCTCCAAGCTACTGATCCAACTGAAATGGGTCTTGATGTTTTTAACAGCCGTGCTAAATAAAAAGCCTCCCAGTTATGAACTTCTTGTGGTGTCTGTTTTTCATTGTGAAATGGTGTTATTAATTGCTGGGTTTATGAATGGTGCTTTGATTACATATTGGGTTGTTTTAAGTTTTGTCTTATAGAATTATGTCCATCTGGAACAAGCTTCTGTCATTTTTCCCCCCTCCTTATATTGTATGATTTATGGCGTGGAATTAATGCAATGTCTCCCTATGTAATGCTTCATGATTTTGGTCAGCTTATACATCTTTCAGCACTTTTGAGATGATGTTTGACCCTTTTTTTTAAGATCCAAGGATTCAAATGAGTTGAATTTTTGTAGCAGAGCTTGGGCTTTCAAACCAGATTGATTCAGTTTTCATTTGGTAGCTTGTCTCTTCATTGATCATCCGTTTTTATCAATTACTTGCAGAATTTAGATCTCAATGAGATCTTGCATTATTAAACTAGAAGAATCCAGGATTGTTCATCCGCTAATCTGTTGAGTGGCCAAGTACAGGGTTCTCATGATCTTCAAATGAATGTCCATAGGATTGTTTGATAACTGTTTTTAGTTTTTGGTCGATAGGGTTGTTTGACTAATAAATAGTATTATAACCTAACTTTATTCTAACAATCATTTTTTTTTTGAGATAATACACCATGTAACTCAATTATTTGATGAAAAAATTGCAAAAGCTAATCTTAAACCATAATCACACTTGTAATTTTCAATTAAACTCGTTCATATATGTTCATGCATTAAAGTTGAGTCTATATATATGGATAAAGTCTAGTGCCTTATCCTAGTAAGGCTAATGATACGATCTAGTTTGTAAAAGTTATAAATGTTATGATCTTAGATTGTTCTAGTTTGTAAAAGTTATAAATGTTATGATCTTAGATTGTTCAAGTGGAGGTATATGAGTGAAAATATTATATAAAGTTATAAATGTTATGATCTTAGATTGTTCAAATGTTATGATCTTAGATTGTTCAAGTGGAGACATGTGAGTGAAAATATTATATAAAGTTATAAATGTTATGATCTTAGATTGTTCAAGTGGAGGCATGTGAGTGAAAATATTATATACAATTAGTTTGTATAAGACTGAACAATGAAATATTTATCTCCTTTCACAAATCATATACGACCTGATCTTAATCTTGAGTAGTTTATAAATTCTTGCATGCCATTTGATTTATATGGATGATAATGACTTGTGTAATTGATTCAATAAATTTTGGGACTGACCAAATAGAGAGCTGAAAACATAATTTTACAAGATAAATTCACCATTTCACTCGTTTGAGAAGGACTTAATTTTTTTGTTGAATCATAAACAGATTATTCATTAGAGAATTAGTAGTATTTAGGATATAATATGTAATTACGGAGGTAAAACTCAAACTTTTGACGCAACTGTCATTCCGAGCAAATAGTGATTATATCTATGAACATAACTCATTTTTTAGTGCATAAGAGTGCACCACTGAATTTACAGTGGATTAACATTGGATTAATAAATTGGATTAACATTGGATTAATAAATGAAAATTAATTAAGTTAATTAGTTTTGTATCCATGAATCTTATAATATGTAGGTCCATAATCTTATAATTAGAATGACGTAACAATGAACCTGAAAACTTGATTGGATTGAATCTGAAAATATAGTAAATGTCGAAGAAGCTATCGTTTTTAAAAAGGATGTTAGATACAAATTGGGTAGACAATGAAGTTGACAAGGAAGGAAGTAGACTTTTAGGACAAAATTAGGACGTTAATTGTCATGTCGTTATAGATACTCCCAGGTAAACTTGCCGTTCAAAGTATTAATGATTGTTTGCTCAAACAATGTTTTTGAAACGTTTATGAAAAAGCCAATGGTAGTATTTAAACTCGTGAAAGGATATGGGTACTTTTTAAACAAGTGACAAAGTTTAGCATTTTTTTTTTTAAATTTTGATGTAGCCTATTTGAAATTACCAAAAAGAAAAAAAAAGGCAAAATTTAATAATATATCTAGTCTAGTCTAAATTACCACCAATTTAGTATTAATTTACAAAAATATTAATTCCTCAAAAAAAAATTACAAAAATAAAACATAATATTTAGCTTATTTTATGAAATATGAGTACAATTGCTGGCGAGACAATTTTGTGAAAGGCATTTAATAAAAATGGCGTCGCCCAGATTTGAACTGGAGACCTTCAGTGTGTTAGACTGACGTGATAACCAACTACACCACGACACCAATTTGATAAATTAATTACCAATTTATTTATTTTGTATTTAAACAATCGGCATTTTATCTGCGATTTTGGAAGTTGGCTTCTTCTTCCCCATTGCTCACAGTTTCACGTCCCTTCGTCGAAACCCTAGACTTCTCTCTCTCTGTGTGTGATCCACGACTCCTCCGCCCAAAAATGGCAGAGCCTCTTGACATGAGCTTAGATGACATCATCAAGAACAACAGGAAATCCGGATCCGGAAACTCCAGCTTCAGGGGTCGCGGCGGAGCTCCCGGACCGGGCCCCTCTCGCCGATTCCGCAGCCGTGGTCTTAATAGAGCAGCGCCGTATTCTACTCCCAAGGTGAAGATCTGGGTTTTGCTGAATCTTACCATCCGATGCTCTACCTCTACTACTACTACTACTACTACCAGTTTCTCATTCTTTTCAAAAGGACTTCGTTTAGGTTTAGGTTTAGGTTCTTTTTTAATGATTTGAAAAACATGGGGGTTTAGGCGCCCGAGGCGGCTTGGTCACACCACATGTTTGTAGATCATGGGGCGGCGTATCCTTCGCAGCCACCGCGGGCCTCTGCTATCCAAACTGGGACCAAGCTTTATGTATCTAATTTGGACTATGGTGTCTCCAACGAGGATATCAAGGTATTTCAATTTCATTTTACTTTTTGGATTTGGGATTTGGAACGTGAGAGAGTTGCGGTTGACTGTTTTGAAACCTGATTTATTTTTGTTTTACAGCGTTTGCTTGTAATTTTTGTTCACTGCTAGTAGACATAAGATAATTTAGTATACTTTATCATAGAAATGATTATATTAGCTCAATGAGTTAAATCCGGGGAATAGGAGAAAAAGAAACTTCCAAATTCATTAGAATATATAAGAGGTTGAATGCTTACATGAATGTTTATAAACAGAGATCTTACAACTTTCATTTCTTTTCTAATTAGTGGAAAAAGAGATGCTGACTGTCTTGGTGTAGCATATTGGCATCCAGCCCGAATCTTTTTCTGGGTTTATGAAAATTTTTTTTCTTTTCTTTCTACGGGAAGTTATGATATCTGTAGCTTAGTGCCGGAAGGATATTTTGCTTGTAGCATAGCCAAAACAAAGTTTCTTTTTCCATATGACTTGGTTCTATACTATTTATATTGCTCATTTTAGCCTTATCTCTGTATTTTGAATTCTAAGTCTTAAACAACATGCAGATCTTCTGATGTTAAATTGGGGCTTCATCTTTTTGTGTGTATGACTAAGATTTAGATAAATATATATACAGGAACTGTTTTCTGAAGTTGGCGATCTGAAACGGTATTCTATTAATTATGATAAAAGTGGGAGATCAAAGGTATGTAATGTTTCAAATTTGTCATACACAAGGGCTCTTTTATTTATTAATCATATCTTGACGTTGACGCTGTTTTAATTTTTATTCTTATTAGGGAACAGCGGAAGTAGTTTTTTCGAAACAATCAGATGCTATAGCTGCTATAAAGAGATACAACAATGTTCAGCTAGATGGGAAACCCATGAAGTTGGAGATTGTGGGAACAAACATCGTGACACCTGTTGTACCTGCTGCTTCAAATGCCATTGCCAGCTTTGGGAATTCAACTGGATTTCCAAGAGGGTACACATTTTGCCAATTTATTTGTTCTTATTTCTAATTTTTTCGATTTGGGTTTACAGTCTTGCCCTCTCTCTCTCTCTCTCTCAAGAGTGAAGTTTGAAGTCAAATGTGGTGTTCTCAAGTCTTCAACTTCTTGAACTCCATTCAACTCATACAAGAGGATGAGACAAATGAAATGATAGGAGAGGGAAAATTTTTAAGGTTATTTGTGTGATTATGATGACATTTTAATATTTAGATGTCACTTTGACTTGGGGTATGTTTTGATTAGCAGATCATTGTTGGGTGTTTTTCTAATTTTTTCCCCTTTTTAACTTAGGCTATCACTTTATACATTAATTACTTTATTGCTAACCCGGCTTATGCTTTGATCATATCACTCTTTAAGTTTTGATATTTAAGTCTTTTCCATATGACTATGAATTATTTGCAAAAAGAAAGATGTTCATGAAACCTGCCTCGTGAACATTCTGTGAATTGCGAAGGTATTTTAATTGGGTGATGTTTCATTGAAGCCTTTCTTTCCCTTGGTGCCCTATGACTTCTGCATGCCTCCTGTTATGGTAATTGTGATGTGTACATAAGCGTGCACTAGGCAGTGTAGATTTCAATTTCATGGATTACCCTCCCTATCCTTCCCGTGTTTTAGATGGTGCTAAAGTATGAAGCTGGTAATTATATTTTATTTACTTTTAATTGCTGATGCTCACATTTTTAACTTTTCATCTGATTTTGATTGTTATTATTTCCTCTCTTGATCAACATGTATATTCATAAATTTTCATTTGGTTTTAACAGAGGACGTGCACTGGGCGTGGGCCGAAGCCGAGGAGGTGGACGAGGTCGTGGTCCTGGGAGAGGTGGTCGTGGACGTGGAAGAGGTCGTGGTGAAAAGTTATCGGCTGAAGATCTAGATGCTGATTTGGAGAAGTACCATGAAGAAGCAATGCAGATCAATTAATGCATTTGGGATCATTTTCTGGGGCCTGATATCCCTACCCTCGTTAAGTGCTTGATGATAAATGTGATAAGGACACCCTTTTCTATTTTGCGAGTCATATCATGAAGCCGTGACCTTGAGAGAACCGTTAAGGGACCTTCATATGATGTGGAGTTTGGGCTTGAATTGTTGTTTGTTGCTGTAGACTATAAAGAGGTGTTTATTAATGCTTGAATATGTAATCTCCTGTTAGTCGTCTATTTTAATTTGCTCCAATCCTATTTATTTTCCATGAAAGTTGAACCGGAACTGGGAAAGTCGTCCACACTCCTCGTCCACATGGAAGGATTTGGCGCATGACTTGGAAGTATTGATTCTAACATAATCAACCACATCGCCTGGTGTCTGAGGCCAAACTTTTCTGGTACACAGTTTCTAAATCGTAATTTTTCCTTGTTAGAATGATAAATGTTTCTGATGAAGTATTCTGTATATGATACTTTTTGGGTTCTGACTCTGCATAATTTCTACCTTATTGCTTTGCAGTGATTGGTTTTATGAATTAAAAGTAATGAGTTAGATCTTCTACTTATTGGCATGGAGGGAGGGGTGTGGAGATGATTACCAAGTAAGTGTTCAGGACTTGGCAATGAATTTTGAGTCCCCTGAACCATAGGATTTGAAATGCCATGCAGTTAGAAATTTACCTTTCTTTCAGCATTGTGTATGGCTTTTACTTTTCTGTGGTTGCAGTATAACCATTGTAGGGCTGCAGCCTGGTTTTTGCATATTTTGTTTGAGAACGCTCCATACCGTTGCATTAAAAACGAGAAAGCAAGGCATACACCATTCAATATTTTTGGCGTTCTATAATTTTGGATTTGTTTTATGTTCTCCATATTAATTTTAGTTTCTAAATCTTAAGGAAGCCAAAAGACTAGAGGAAAAATGCTACTGTCATTGGACTCCAAGAGGAGAAATTCGGTTGCAGTTGGTCGTCGGATGCTGATATCTAATATATATTTTTACATGATTGGCCCTTTTCACTTCTGTTTAAAGTTTTCTGAGATTCAAATTTGGTTTGTTCACATTTGATGAATTGAAAGCTTGTCTGCAATTGATTCACTAAGTCAAACATAGGGGTAAAAATGTTTACCCCTAACCTTTTGCAATAGATTTTGACAGAAAGCAGAGTAAGGTGAAAATAACAGTAGCAAAAACATGCTTTGAGTTTGAATTCGATTGATGGTGGTGCAGTTGGGTAATTGCAGCTGTGAAGGGATTCTATTAAAGTTTTTGAAATGCTTACAAGTGCTTTTTGTATCTCTTACAGATTGTTTTAGTGGCTGTTAAGTCTGGTTTTTATAATTCATGCCTAGTGAGTTTCTTAGAGGAGATTTTAGTATTTGTTCTACAAGTGTTCAAAGTTCACTAATATTTTGATTAGTTGGGCATTTTGATAGTAATTAATTTTCGAATTTAAGTGTTGTGGTTGGTTGTAAAGCTGTAAATTACAATCCTAGCAATTTCTTAATATTGTTATGTGTTGCATTCTTGCATTACTTTTTTGTAGTTATCAATTTGATGAAGATGAACTTATAAATGTGATCAATGCAAATGTTTAATATGATGCAAAATTTTGTTTTGTTTCTAATGCTGTTTTGAGTGACCTCTCTTAGAGGGTCGTAATGCTGAAGAATGTCTCAAAGTTTGTTTTTTTAGTACACCATGTGGGGTGGAGAGATTTGAATTTATGATCTTCTCGTTGGAGATAGATGCTTCAAAGTTAACTAGAGATTGATGCTTCAAACTTATTTTTATATAGTTG